CATTCATTCATTCATTCATTCATTCATTCATTCATTCATTCATTCATTCATTCATTCACAGGACTTATATGTCTGCCTGTCTCAGATAATGATTCTGGGCAGCTCATAACAACCCATGAAAAGCAAAGATGAAAACCGAAATGCCCTTCTCCCCAGGAGCCAGGCCAAACAGCCTCCTCGACCCCCTTGCTTTTTCAAGCATTCGGCATCTGAATCCCCCCACCCCTAACCAGGCCAAACTGCATTTGGCACCGCAAATATGGACAGCCTCCCTGAAGCTGCACCGTGGGGGCGGAGGAGCAAGAGGGTGGCAGTTCCGTCCCTGCGGGCAGCGCACCAGACCGGCTCAGATGGGGAGGCAGCTCCCTCCCGCCAAGGAAAACGAAAAAACAAGGGAACACCAGCCCTCGGGCAGCTGGGAGACCGTCTTCACCTTTTTCTTGCTTCTGTATTCCCTCCACACAGCAGAGACGCGGCTTTGCTCCTGCAGAAGGAGAGATGTTTAATTCCTCGGAGAGAAGCCCCGGCCCTTCCCCACAGCGGCGGGTTCGGGGGGGAAGCCACCCTGGGCAGCATCGCCAGGAAAGCCACAGGCTCTTTGGTTCAGTGGTGCAACGAAGCCCAGGCGGGCAGCCCCGAAGCAGAGCTGCCCAAGGGGGGGGCACGAAGGCCTCAGACCCCCTGCTCCCTGCCCTTGGGAGGAGTGACTGAGTGGGCGCCCCATGCACAGCTCTGCCCTCGAACCCTTTCCCACACCCGCTGCCCAAGGCGGACAGTTCCCTCTTCCTGAGGGCACGGCTGGCCCTCTCCCCAGGTGCGGCTCTCGGGCTGCAGGCGGGTGCCCCTGTGTGCCCCAGCACTTCTGGTGAGCAAAGCGCTCCCTGCCCTGACGTTGCTCCTCTCAAAACAGTCGTGCCTTGCGTGCCTGAAAGTGTTCCTGCTTTGAGAATGTGCACAGTGCAGGCTGGGCACAAAGCAAAGGGGGCTGTGGGGGCACGGAGGCGCCTTCAAGGGGAAAGGCAGCTTTGCAACACCACTCCAGCCAAGTGGGGCCGCCTGTGAAGAAAAGTCTGGATTTCCCTGCCAGAAACGGTGACTGTCTGTGTGGGGCGCAACAGCGAATCACAGTGGCACGTCCCTGTTGGCGAATTGCTCGGCCCTCGCCCCACAGAGGACCCCACCTCCCACAGGTTTCCCCCTTGTGGCATCGCCTCCAGATTTTGGCAAGGCTGCCTGTACAGCAAGGAATCCTTTGCTTTCTGAATGCAATCCATATATTTTATTTTATTTGGGCTCTTGACCCGCCCGGTTCGGGAGGGTGCCTCAAGCATGCCATTCAAAGCCCAGCACAGCCTGTTGACCCGCCAAGGCGGCACCCCCTGCGCCAGTTCTTCCTGGGCCCGAAAACTGCAGCCAGTTCGCTCGGGATGCCGGCTGAACGTGAGGATGTGCAACGGGGCAACCAAGGAAGTTTGCTGGCTTTCGTGGGCGAGTGGCTGCGGGGTGCAGTGCGCTGAGTTGTGTGTGTAGCTCACCCTGTAAGAAGCTGGTCCTGATCTGTATTTGGAAACACTCTTTCGAAAATATATTATTTGCTTTAGTATTTATGATTTATTGAGCCTCTCCTATTTCTAACCTAAATCAAGTTGCGATGTTCTTAACTCGCGGGACCAAGGCTGCTGTTTCAGGCCTCCTGAACATGGCTCCGTGAGATCCCCCTCGAGCACATTTGGACATTTCCATCCTTGCCTTTTACGGGAGACACTTATTTGCCCCAAGGCCCAAACACCAGGACATTGCTCCTCGTATCATACAACTGTTTAGATTGGAGCCACATTGTCCTACTGATACGTGCAAAGAAAGACCTCCTTATTCTGTGGGTGAGCCGGCAATTGGGACATCAGGGCATCCAACTCTTGAAACTTCTGCCGCGTGGCACGGATTTCGCGGAACAGCTCCCTGTATTCCAAATACTGATCGTTGAAGACAGCCTTGTACTTCTCCCGCTCGTCCAGACTCCTGATGGCCGGGTACCTTCTGCCGGGAGGAGAGAAAGGGAAAGCTGCGTCCACAGAGCGCCTGCTTCGCGGAGACGTGAACTAATTCCATTTCTGCAGCGAACCCTGCCTGAATCTCACAGAGCTCCACAGCTGGGGGGTCTGAAGTCACCCGGGCTGCGCCCAAAGGGCTTGCCACTGCAATGTCCTGAGGGACTGCCCGGTGGGCGGCTGGCTGCACGCAGATGAAGCTGAAGGGGGGCAGGTGCGCTGTGGGTCCAGCTTAGCAGAAATGGGGAGCTGTGGAAAAGGTTGGAAACTTGGCTGGCATCTGTGCTGGAGGTGGGCACCCTTGCCCGCGCAGGGCGCCCCTGAGGGCAGGCCTCCCTTGCTGCTCAGCTCCAGGGGACATCCTGCCCTTCTGAACAGGTGTAAGAACACGGCTCTGCCGAATGGCCTGGGGGCCTGACGGGGGCTCGCACGCTGGAGCTGGCTCGTGGGGGGATTGATACTGCTTCCCCATCTTCTGGATTTGTATTTTGCTTTGATAGATTTGTTATTTGTGTTTTAATCGGGGGGGGGTTATTTATATTTGTTATTGTTTTTATTGTCTTGGTTTTTAATTCTAAGCCGCCCAGAGTCACCCTCTGGGGCAGATGGGTGGCAAATACATTTAATAATACATAAATAAAAATAAATTAAGCCCTGGGGGCTTCTGGCAAATCTGGGGTGTCTGCAGAAAGGGGAGGGGTGAAAAGAATCAAGATGGCAGCTCCTGTCACGTGGCTGCGCTGGTGCCGTGGCTTTTCGACACCCTCCCGTGGACACCTTAGGGTGCAGCACCCAGAGGCGTTGTTTGCAGATGGCTCGTGATTTTGGCACACTGTGTTTGATCCTGGTGTTGCACCAGTCCTCCTTAATCAGCTCAAATCACACCAGAGTTTAAAATGTTTCTCCTCTGCTTCGGGTTTTGTTTTTAACAGTGAAAAGCTGCTAAAATAAGTATAGTTAAGGGCTCTGGTACTTACACAATGTAATCGGGGACGATAAGCGGTTTGGGGTTGTGCCCCGTCGGGATGGCGTTGTTCAGCCCCTCCGCGCCTCCTGGCTCCGAGAACGCGACGCGCCTGGTGACTCGGCCAGCCGGGCGCCCTTCGCCCCGAGGGGCCGTGTGCTGGGAGGCACCCCCCGGGGGGAGAGGCGTCGGGTGCCGGGGGGACGGGGGCGGGGGAGGCGGG